CATATTCTGACTATATATGTGTCGCTGATTTCAAAACCGAACCAGTTTTACCCTATCAGCTGGAATTTTAAAGTGCGGAGCAGCAACTGTAAAGTTTACCAGCTGTAGTTTTAGATGCAGAGTAACCTCGTGAACTGAATATATCACAGGCTGTTCTCACATTTTTTTATACGTTTTTGCTTTGCTATATAAAAAATCGTCTACTTGGAAAATGTTCTCTAACTGCAAATGCATTTTTAAAAGTCTAAATTATTGTCTACTTGAAATTTTATTTTCATGCAAAATGACGCTTTTAAATTGAAGCAGTTTGTGCTCTTTCCGAAGAAAAGTATTCGCATTTATTTATTGCAAATGCTCTAAAAGCCATGATTTTTTATAACATTCACAAGAATATGCAGTATTCTTTTAAGCACAGGAAGCGAAACTCACACAACTGTTACTATCACAACTTTTCTTAAACGTCAGTATTTTCAAATCTACTGTTATATTTCACTTAGTTGTAATAAAGATACAAGAGGTGTGGATACCTTTTGTGTGTACACTTTTTTGATCAATTAGAAAACGCATCAGTTTTAGATTTACACATATCATCCTCATACATTTCTTGAGATTCACTCAAGAAAAAAATGAGGTTGTTTGTACCTTATCTTTTTTAGACTAAATTGAGTATTTCAAATTCCTTTTAAAATGAAAATTGAGCATAATTTGCTGCTATGAGCATGTAGCAATGCATTTCAAAATTTAAATCTGTTGTAAATGAATTTATAACAATTTTTAAATGAGAATTTTTCTAGATCTCCAAAGAACCGGAGGATAGAGGCCCTTTTTGTTGATCAGCTTTATTAACCAGATTATTAGAAGACATTTTCAATATTTGAGTTTTCTATTGACGTTTGAATCGCTTCAGCGTTTTCATTGTACTTTTATACAGTTCTCAGCAGGTGAACTCATACTCAAACATAGTCAGGTATGTATGCTATTCGTAAAAATTCCAAACTGATGTCAGATAGAGAAAAGGGAAAAATTAAGAATGAGAATGGGTATAATGAGAGCAGTATTCAAGAGCAGACATTTCGATCATCTGTTCCGAAAACTATGCTGTAGAGTTATTAGGTTATTTCGAAGCAGGAGAGATGAAAAATGAGCAATGCCCTCGCGGGACCCGAACCACGAACATCTCGAATCCCGTAAGATATTGTTGAGAGGAGGAGAGAAATTGTTTTTCAAGGATTACATTCACAAGACTGGTTCCTTTCATTCGAGTACAAGAACTGTCGATGTAAGATCATATCTCAAACAATAGATTCAGTAGACCAAAACTAACTACGTAAAGCATCGAATTATTAAAAATTTAATGTAAGATGTACACTAATTGGCTTGGATAAATTAGCAACAGAAACCATCATTTGCTTTTGTTCAAAAATTAGTTCTCCTTGATAAAAAATGTTATTAAATTAGTTTTATCTGATGTAAAAGTTTATCCGAAAATATTATTATGATATCTCTTTTATAATATGTTATCCTTATAACATGATCTCGTTGCAACAACATTCTAGAACTGAGGACACCTTAGCTAATATGGTATCCCACAGCACGATTTCGTAATAATATGATTAAAAAAACTGGAGAAACTCCCGGTATAACACAGTATCTATATGACATAGCCTAGTATAACACAGTATAATAACAAATAATTTCGCTCTAACAAAGTTCGGAACAAGAGGGAACCTCATGTATAACTCGATATTATATAAATATAGCGAAATCATATGATTTCGCTATATTTTAAAAATTTTTTAGTACAAATAAATGAACTCTGTAAATAAAATTAGGCACAGTTTTCTGTTTTTTGATTAATAAAAATAATAACTAAAATAGTGGTAATAATAGATTTTAAACACATTTTAAATTCCATAATGTTCCAATATTATTGAGGGAAAATTTCTTATTTTCACCTCCAATCTTCATGTGGAAGAGGCAAAATATCAGCAGAATTCATAGATGATTAACTCTATACTATAGAACTTATTAAAAATGTATTAAATAAAACAAACAGTAATAAAATATTTTAAAAAATAGAGTTTTGAAATCTGCATATTATTGTAAATTTAAATTTATTAATCTGTAAAAAGTCAGAAGTTGATATTTAGCAACAAACAAAACTTTCTCTTTTAATTTTACGCAACAACGATGACAAAGGAAAAAAATTAAGTTATTTTATTTAGCATTAATATATAGGACTTAATATATTGAGTTTATTATTTATATTTTAATTGAACCTGTAGAGATACTAGGCTTATTTAAATAAGCCTGGGGGACGTGAAATTCTGGGGACGTGAAAAATGAGCAATGCCCTCTCTGGGACTCGAACCTGGACCTCTCAAACACGCGCCAAGTTTGCTACCGTTACACCACGAAGGCATGCAGAATGGTGGGAGAAAATACCTTATAAACTTTATTTAATAAACTGACACTTGTGGCAACAAAACATTGCGTTCTTTCTATTTGGAGAATGTAATATTATTTCTGGTGCCTTTTCTGTTTCATATAATATGGCATTTCTCAGAAACCGCGTAACACCAAGGTTTTGAGTAACATATTGGATGAGAATACGTAAAGGAATGAAATTCTAATATTTTACAAGTGGAATACCCACCATAAAATCTGTTTATGCTATTTTATGTAAAATTGGGGGAATAAAAATACTAATATTAGGAAAAAAAATGTGAGAGTGTTCTGATCCTCAGCCTCTTGCGCTGTAAAAGAAAGAAGGTCATTTTTCATAATGAAAAATAGTAACTGAATATGCCCCAATGGTAATAATTATGTATGTAATTTTCTTATTTAATATCTGATATGAATTATGCAAAACTACGTGTCCTCAAATGAAAATGCCTCTTGAAAGGCAAGTTTTTGGGCTTTAAGAAAAAAAAATTAATTGGATTGTTCACAAATGGAAGAGAATGGAATTCAGAAAGAAATCAAAGAAAGAAAATGAATTGAATTGATTTTCAGGTAACAATGATTTCAGTTTAACATGTGTGCATTTATATTAGATGCGCTTTGAGAATATTAGAAACGAGAACAAAAAAAAAAATAGAAATGCCTCAGACTAAAAGCCCTAAAGTATTTGTTGCAAAGTTTTCAGGGGTTTTAAGATTAAGAATTTATTAGCCTAGATATTATTAAAAATCTAATAAAATAATAGTAAAATTGGTTTGAGTTGTACAGATTAAGGCAAAACCCATAAGAGCTATCAGCTTAGGCGATGTATGTTTTCATAGAAGACTTTTTATGAAAAACTAGCTTTGACGTTAACCAAAAAAAAAAAAAAAAATCCACTGATGATAATAAAGTATTTTTATATGTTTTCTTCCTGTCTTTTTTTACCTTGGGCTAAGTTGCAAAGAATGTATCTTCAATTTTCAATTGATTAATATTAAAATCTTTGTGCGTATGTATTGACATAAAAGATTTTTCAGATTTAAGATTAAATAAATGTTTAAAAATAATAAATTACTATGTATTTAATTTTAAATATATTTTTAAATATACATTTTATACACATGTGATTTGAAGACAAAAACTTTAAGTTTTATTATTTTCTTACAGTATTAATTGAAAGTAAAATTTAAAATTTTTATTGAACCTGCTTGCTTCTAATATAGGTTTCAGTCTGAAGTTATACTAAATTCAAATGCTAACATTTGGCACGCAATGTATTTTAATAAACTTTTCATTTCTGATTGTGCATTAATTCTATTTGATATTATTCTTAAATAGAAAGAATTTATTATTCTTAAATAGAAAGAATTAGTACATTACTTTACTTCTACTCTACAAATCTGAAAATTTTTCGCCAGAATTTCTGATTGGTAGCGAGAGAAAAAATATGATTTATGAACTTGTTAATCAGCTTAAGTTAAAATGAAAATGATTTACTTCTAAAGTTTGAGTAAGTTAATCATAAATGAAACTTTTTGTTACAGTGTGTAAAGTTCTAGCGGAAGCATGAAAATTAGTAATTTTTTTTTTTTTTTTTTTTGCTGATCATAAGTATTCCATGCGGAAGAGAAATACATGCGGGAAACAATGAAATCTGCACAATAGCCAACAAACACAAGAGTATAAGCTCCTGATGAACTGGGTGCGGCCTAGAGGAAAACATAAAAGAAATGCAGGGTTTTTCTTTCACTTTTTTTTCTGCATTGCAAACTGTGCCTCACACAGGTGATAAGAATTATTCCCAATGGTAATTACGCACTTTCATAACGGCTTTCTTCTGCAAAGGGAGAAAAAAGGAACTGCGTTGATCGCTCACCAGTAGTGATCGCAACCGGTTTGAGTTATCAACATTAAGTTTTATTCCATAGAAGTGCGTAGTATATGATTTGGCTACTCCCCCCCTTTTTCATTGTAAAATAGGTACGTTATTGTTGCTTCAGAGGTGATCATAAACTAGAGCAATTCGTCGTAGCAGGAAAATAACGTTGTGTTCTTTTGGGAGAGGCAGGTTTTTAAACTTGACTTATATCTGTTTTATTATATAGCTAAGAACAGAGTAAAAAGCTTCAAAATACTCTCAACGCTTCTCTCGGAACGAAAGAGAAAATATCCATGACCGTCAGTGACAATGACAAGGTTAACAACAAGTCTAAATTCGTTATAGAAAGCTGAATTCTCGCGATTCACTTAAGCGTTAAGCTTATCGCATTCTCCATATTCAGTTATTTTCTTCGTGACGTTTTCTCCAAGTTGACCTACCAGTAGAGAAAAAAAAAAGAAACAGTTCTTGCATCAATTACCTGTCAATAGACGCGAAAGTCGAAAAGAGATACTTCGTTGAAAACGGAGGTGGCCGACCGTCCTTTGAGAGTGGCCTATTAAAAAAACAAGAGCAACAAAAAAAGGGAAGGAAAGTCATTACGTCACTAGTCAAAAGACCGTTGCCAATTGGAGGAAATATAATGTTTTCCCCGAGTGGTTCGGCATGGTTCGTCGGATCCCCGTAAGGGACACAAAGGAAAAGTCCTTAAAGCAGGGGGTGGGTACGAATTATCAGTTACAAACGTTTAAACGTCTGGGCACGTGACCACGTTCTTCGATTGGACGATTTTCGGCTTTTTGTTTTTTGTTTACCGCCGTTTCCACGAAGTGTGCTTTCATTGTCTTAAACCTCCCGAACGTCGACTTTGAATGGATCATTTAGAAACAAGCCGCCGTCCGTAGAGCAGTTGTTCCATATAGTGTACCAAACTCATATCACACCGCGCCTCGAACAACTAACAACGCAATGAACTGTTTGTCTTGGTGGAGCTTCGGCTTGCTGCTGATTGCTTCATGGACTATTGAAGAATGCTCTGGACAATTTTTTAGTGAAGGGCCATGGTCACCAACCTTCATGAAAAAAGACATATTTCGGAAATTTGGCTTTAAAAAACATCATGAAACTAATATTGAAAAGTATATGCGCAAAGCTAGGAATATTAGGCATTATTACGTAGCCGCAATTGAAGTGGACTGGGATTATGCGCCTGGAGGAAATTTACTGGGAGAGCGTGGTGAAGAGTAAGTCCAATTATTTAAATTCCTTTATTGAACTAACTATACTGGAATATTAGCAATTTAACACTAAAAATATTTTTTATTTGCAGATAATGCATTGCTAGATATAGTAATGATACGGCTATTTCTCAAATTTTGGGGAATAAATTGTTAACAAATGTATTCTCAAAACTTTCAACGGAAAACATTCTTTTATTTTATCAAATTCAGATGCGAAGATAAACAAATTAGATAATAAAATTTAAAATTTTTGGTGAAAGGGAGGCAGAGAAATTTATAGTTTTAAAATAATTTTAGTTCCATTCGCTCAATCAAAGCGGGACAAATGCAAGAAAATGTGTAAACGATATTTACGTGCCTTAGGTATTCTCTAGAGTTGCCTAGAAATCTTTCTAGATCAAATCATTTATAATAACTTCAAAATAAAAAATAAAAATGATAAAAGTAAATAAATGTAAAATCTTCGATAACTAAAACTAGACTTAAATATTTAATTTCTGTAGATAGTAATTATCAATTATAATTTCATTATCAGATAACATCACAATTAATCCGCAGATTTCAAAACTAATTAAACCATCATGGAATTCCATTACATGCATCTAATAGTTCTTAATTTTTCTTCAATATGTGCAGGTACATATGAGTGGATATATGTCAGATAATAGAAATAAATCAAAATTTGTTTGCTCAAGTAAAAATTCAGTTTTAAGTATCTTTTATTAACGTGATAACACAATAAACACATTTTTATATGATGCGCATAAACAGTAATACAGTCGAATTTCAATTTAAGTAAGAAAAACTGTGGAACAATCAAACTGAAGAAAACTTTCGCATAAAAGATCATTCAATTTATCGACAAAGACCAATATAAGTTTCGATTTTTATTTTTTTGGCATTCAAATAATAGAGCTTTCACGTTAAAAAAAAGAGATTAATCTTATCGAAAATATCGAATTAATCAAAGTTAGATTAATCGAAGCTCTGTTATGTGGCAGTGTATAGTTTTAGATTCTTGATAAGGTACGCATCTCAGGTAACGAGTTATCAGAATTTATTTTAATGTTTTTTATTCATTGGGAAAATGTCCTAGGTGTTTTCAGTATTTTCATTATTGTTGGCAAAAGCTCATTTTCTCTTCAAGTAAAATCAGCAACCATTTCAAAAAGTAAAATCAACTAATGAATAATTAATTAGATACTTGTAGAGTACGAGAAGGAAAAATAAAACTTTAGATACATTAACAATCAAAAAATATCGAAAGAAAAAATAAAGGAAATTTATGTAAGAGAATCCATTACACGTTTAATTTCACTGTAACAGTAAAAGATAAATGCCAGTACTGACATCTTTAATTTACCAAGCTCAGAAATTGCAGTATGTCAGAAAGATTGTATCTACAACAAGCTTTAGTAAAATGTGAATGATCAGGGATTTAGATGTTACTAGACAGAAAAATCTGACAAAATAGAATCAAATCAAAATCTGTATCAAAATAGAAAGGCGGGAAAATGTTACGGTTTAAGCTATGTATAAAGTGTGATTTATGTCTTGTTCATGAAGCATATTTTGATAAATTCTTGAATAGTTGTTCTTTTCATATTATCGATCAATCCGTTCTCACTTCAGTGAATTTAGGCATTCACAAAAAGAACAAATTTTACCTCTATGAAATGCTTTGAATTATGCAGTGAAATGTTCGGAGATAAGAATGGTAAAGTGATTCGATGAATTGCAAAAGTGATATTTCCTTGACAAGGATTTGTTTTTTTTTTTTTTTTCTCCCTTCGATAGAAATTTTGTTGTATTTAAAATAATTACACAGCTCCGCTTAAAGAGAAACGTGTATCATACATCTTAATGCATCTACTTTGTTTCAGGTATTTTAGACTTGTTTGTTTTGAATCAAGAATGAATTTCTTAATCTTGTTAAACAAAACAAAACGTTATCAAACAGAGCAATGGAGGGGGAAATAATTGTTGAAAGAAATCGGTGATTGAGAAAACTTTCATAAATAAGAGTGCAATAAACAATAAATAAAAATTTATGACTAAAAATAAATTATAAATAAGTAAATACCAAGTTATATTAAATACGACTTAAAAAGTGATTCGCTGTTTATAGTGAATCAGTTCAAAATGCGAAAATTAATAACCCGTCTAGAGAGATTGCCTTTGGGCTAAAAAAAATCTGAAAGCTTTCAGATTTTAAATTACCCCCAAAGCGGCGTTTTTTTCACGTTTTGTGTGTTGCCTTTATTTATTAAATATTCCGAATTCGGATTTCCTGATGCCCATGTTCGGGTGAAGTACGTTATTCAGAATTTAATGACTCTAGGTACCATTGTTTTATCACAATGCGAGAAACATACATACATTTATGCAGATTCTTCATTATTTAATTTCTTTAAATGTAACACAGGGCGATAATATTTGCTGAAAACAATTTGAAAAGTGAAACGGGCATTTAAAGTTTTCGACGCAAAATGCCAAAACAAAATAACAGCCCTTCTGGGCTAACGCCCTTCAGCCTAATAAATTGTACTAAATACAGCAATTTAAAGTGCTATAGTTTTAAAAGAAATTTGTGACCAATCAAGAAACGGTATTTAAACTATTTAGAAGATATTTGAATTTTTTAGCTGTTTAGAAAGTTAACTTGCACAACATTATTCTTTCAATTAATAGCTGAGTAAAAGAGATTTAAGATTCAGATTGAGAAGAAATTTCAGAAACTGCTTAAGATATAAGTTTGATCATAAATTAAACAATAAGTGCCAGTTGAAAATCCAATTCCAGATAGGTAATGATAGTTGTGTTAACTGCAGTGTATCTACCCTAAGCCGCAGTACACCTAACATACATCGTACACACATTACCGGCTACATTACCTGTTGAATATATTGCAGCCTAAGTACCATTAAGGAGACAATCCACAAAGTTACTTTCTAAATACGGTATTCTAAAAATAGAAAAATAATAATTTATTTAATTCAGATATTAAGCAGTAATAAAATCTAATGTGAATAACTTTTAAACTGAAGAACTATAAAAAAACAGCAGGTTTTTACAAATCTTACAATTTTATTATTAGTGTAGATAACTCTAAGCAGGGACTATTAGCATGCTATAGTTTGTAAACTTGACTTTCTGGCTATCATTAATTTCTGGCTATCATTCTTTTTGGCTATCATTAATTGTTAAACCTCTGGCAATATTTGAGTTAATAAGAGAGGTTTTATGAATAAATCTCATTTTACATATCAATTAAATTAAAACAGGGCGTATTCCATCACGTAAAGTTATAGTTATAAATGACTAATAAGCAATATTCCAGATGATCTACTTTTCGTAGACTGTTCCGGAACTTTATAAAGACAAATATCTGCTTAAATTAATACTAAATAACTGTTAGTACATTACTTGGTCTCAAAACTTTTTATTTATTAATCACAAATATAGCTTTTGTGTACAATAATTTCTTAATTTAATAAAATGTAATAAACCCATCGTAAGTTGAAAGAATCATAAGAAATTAACACCCAATCCCATGAAGCCAAGCTTTAAGGCTCCAGATTTTAAAGACCCTTAAAACTATTTTTGTAATTAGTTTAACCCTTTGTGATTAGCTTTACCTCATAAAACAAACATAGCTATACGAGCCCGAGAAAGACTTACGCGTCTAAAATATGCTGTCTTAATCGGACACATCGTAAACTGGACATACACCAAATATACCTAATCTACTGGACAGAATTGCTTAACCTACTTCAAATCTGCTCAGTAGAAGTTACAATTAGCCCACAGCTGGATGAAATCATTCAACGCAAAGCTAGTTTTACAAAATGACTTTCAATATTTCGTGTAATTTATTGTATTTTTCACTTAAAAGTGTATCTATTCCACTATTGTCCATTAATGACCTATGATAAAAACATACAAAACTTAAAGAACGTTTGAAAAAATTAATTACGGTAAGCTACTGGATGCCGAAGATGCTATGTTAGAAAAAGTCATCAATTCGACTTTCTTAAGAAGCATGAGAATAGTTAGCAGATGGTATATAGAATAACGGCAAACGCTGAATGTTATGCAGCCATAAAGATCTTAAAGAAATTATACTTAGACTGTGGAATCTGTTTCTTCTTTTTGTCTTAGATTTCTCTGCATGAAATTCCTCTCAGCAACAACTAACGTCTGTATAGTGCTTTTCACAACTACTCAAATTCTTCTCAAAAACTTCTCAACTTATAATTCTCTACCGAAATTCTTCTCTATTGTTGCTGCTGAACATTAACTTTTCCTGGCACGTAATGTTCCGGTATATACCGCCAGAAATTTCACAAGAAAGAGTATTTAGTTAATCAATCATTTTAATTCCATGGACAACTGTAAGCAAATCTCTGCAAGATATTGTAATAATAATGCATTATGTGATTATGTCTAGAATTGTTTCAGGTATTAATATTACTTCGAGCGCTGTTTTTAAATTCAATCTTGATGAGATTTGTTGAAAAATCTAGATTATTCTCTAAACCATATTCTTTTGCTCTATTACCGACAGATACTGGATGAACTCGCACTATTTTTTTTTTTCATTCTGAGTTACTTTAAGTGAAGAATTTATTGCAGTTGTGTCGTGAAGACAAAAAAACGAGTACTTGCATGTTAGTTAATTAAAATAGATTATCTACATATCTTGCATATCTACTCCTTTTGTGATTAAACATAATACAGAAAGAAGAAAAAACACGTAGCGTATTAAATGGGGAATTGCTATGTAGTGAAACTTAACAGAAATTGCTCAATATCCTAGAAAAAGAACTTTTCTGTCTAGTATCCAATTTCAAGCACCACAAACTGTTTATGTATACTCCCCCCGCAACATGAGATACATCACTGTTTATGTAAGATACACATCATACACATATGTGAGAAACATACGTAATTACCATTCGTTAACATGTGTAAGAGTTCTGAACTCTTCTAAACTCGAAACA